CATCATCATTATCATCATCAGCATCATCACCTGTTTCAGCAGCAGCAGCATCATCAGCATCATCGGCATCATCAGCAGCATCATCGTAATGTTGATCACCATCATCAGGTCACCATAAGCAGAATCACCGTCACTGTCATCAGCGTCAACATCAGCATCATCGCCAATGGCATCATCAGCATCATCATTACGATCATCAGCATCAGCATCATCATCGTCAGCATCAGCATCATAATCTGCATCAGCACCATCCGCATCGTCAGCATCATCATCATCATCATCATCATCATCATCATCATCATCATCATCATCATCATCATCGTCATCGTCATCGTCATCGTCATCAGCATCATCAGCATAATCAGCATCCTCATCCTCCTCATCATCAGCAGGATCAGCAGCATCATCATCAGCAGCATCATCATCATCCTCAGCATCAGGATTAGCATCAGCATCAGCATCAACATCAGCATCAGCCTCAGCATCTTCATAATCCCACCAGCCCTCTAGGAATAGGTGGTCTAAGGAGCTGTCTCGTCCAACCGTCATGCTTCCCATTCGGTGAGGGGTTTACCCCTCCCCACCCCCCACCCCCTTTACCCCATCCCCTGGACTTGGACGGGGGTGGGCGCGGGCAGTTAGGGCGTCCAAGATGGCCCAAGGTGGCGCCAAGAGGGCCTCAGAGAGTGCAAGATGGACTCCCAAATGGTTCCAGATAGCGCAAGATCGCTCAAAATGGCTTACAGGATGCTCCAAGATGCCCCAAGACCGCCGCAAAGCGGCTCCGAGTGCCCAAAGAGCCCCAAGGAGGCACGCAAGAGGCCAACATCCATCCAAAACCCAAGTAACTGTCTCGCCGTGTCGCTTCGGATGGCCGCCCGAGGCCCCAAGATGGCCCCAAGATGGCCCAGGAGGGCACCAAGAGGGGCCCAAGAAAGCCCCGCGGCGGCCACAAGAGCGCCCAGGAGCGCTCCAAGAGCGCCTCAGGAGGCGAGCGCGGGCACCACAGAAGGGCAAGGCGACGTAAAGCTACCGCCGTGCTGCAGCGATGTCTTCTAAGATGGCTCCAAGAGCGCCCCTAAGGCCCCAAAGAAAGCCCCAAATAGGGCCACAAGAGGCGCCCAGACGGCCCCAAGAGGCGCCCAAAAGGCACCCAAGAGGCTCTCAAGGGACCCCCAAGAGGCCTCAAAACAAAAACCCGAGGCATCCAAAACGCTCAAAGACGACCATGGGCCCGCCAAGATGCCCCCCCGCCCCCCGAAGCACCCCAAGAGGCCTCCAAGAAGCGTCCAAGCGACATCCGAGGAGACTCCGAGAGGCAGTCAAGAGGCGTCGGACTATTATGCTCGCCCTTGCCAGCCTCCTCCTCCTCCCCCATCCGTCCCCTCCGGTTTGTCCTCCTCCTCATCCTCCTCCTCCGCCTTATCATGCTGCGCCTCCCCCTCCCCCCCATCCGTCTCATCGTCTTTCCTCTTCTCCTCCTCATCGTCAGCTTACTCCTCCTCCCTCCTGCCTCCGCCCCCATCCCCCATCCTCATCCGCCTCCTCCTCCTTGTCCTCCTCATCCTCCTCATCATCAGCATCCTCCTCATAGTCTTCCTCCTCCTCCTCATCCTCATCCTCATCCGCCACCTCCGCCTCCTCCTACTCATCATCCTCATTGTATGGGGCGTGTCTCGGCATGCATGGAGGACTGGAGGACATGCGCCTCATCATCCTCGCCCTCATCCTCCTCAGCCTTCTCATCCTCATCATCGGCATCATCAGCATTGTCAGCATCAGCAACAGCATCAGCATCATCATCAGCATCATCATGACCACCACCAACACCGCTAGCATCACCATCAGCATCAGCATAATCAGCACCGTCAGCAGCATCATCATCATCATCATCATCATCATCATCATCATCATCATCATCATCATCATCAGCATCAGCATCAGCATCAGCATCAGCATCAGCATCAGCATGACCACCCGCAACTTCCTCCTCCTCCTACTCCTCATCCTCATTGGCTGGGTGGTGTCTCTACATGTGCGGAGTACTGGAGGACATGTGCCTCCTCATCCTCCGCCTCCTCCTCCTCATTCTCGTTGGATGGGCGGTGTCTCTACATGCGTGAAGTACTGGAGGACGTGTGCCTCCTCATTCTCACCCGTCTCCCCCTCTTCCTCCTCGTTCTCCTCGCCATCCTCCCCCTCCTCGTCCTGCTCCTCATCCACATCCTCCTCATACTAATCCTCATCCTCATCCGTCGCCTCCTCCTTCACCTCCTCCTCATCCTCGTTGGACGGGTAGATCTCTACATGCGATGAGTACTGGAGGACATGTGCCCCCTCCGCATACTCCCCATCCCCCTCCTCCTCCTCTTCATCCTCATCCTCCTCATCCTCCGCCTCATCCGCAGCAGCAGCACCACCACCACCATCATCATCATCATCATCATCATCAGCATCAGCATCATCATCATCATCAGCATCATCATCATCGTCGTCATCA